AAATGTCTGTTCATGTCTTCTGCCCATTTCTTGATTGGATTATTTGTTCTTTGGGTGTTGAGTTTGATAAGTTCTTTATAGATTTTGGATACTAGCCCTTTATCTGATATATCATTAAGAAATGCAAGGCTGTTTTAACATTAGAGAAACCAAGTGAAGAATTTACCATATTAACTGAATTAAAGGAGCAAAGTCGCTTGGGCTTTCAGTAGATGCAGGGAAAATGAGTCCAATAAAAGTAAAACAAAAATAACAACAAACCACGCACAACTGAAAGAAAAATAAACACCTTCTTGACAAACTAGCAATGCCCTCACGCTGTTCCAGAACGCCTGTAAGGACCTATGGCAGACATTGTACTTAGTGGTAAAACACTGAGATCTTTAAGTTAAGGAAGAAAGCAAGGCTGCCCACTCTCACCATTTCTATTCAGCATTGTACCGGAGCTTCCTGATCAGTGCAGTGAGGGGGAAAATGAACGAACAAGGATTAGAGAGGAAGGTGTCCGGTATGGCTCCTAGCTTGTGCTTCTGGAGGTGTCTTTGTACCATTTACCGAGATGAGAAAGACCAGGAGAGAACCCAGTTGGGCTGGGTGTTCAGGGCACACAAGGGAAAGGTGTCCAACTGCCCTGGAAGACCACCAGGCAGGGAATCAGGATACTTCAGCTCCATTCCCGACTCTGATTAACCTTGGATGAGCCACTTTCCTTTTGGACCTGGATTTTCCCATCTGTAAAATGGGTGGGTGTGGGAAGATGGACTAGTGGTGGGCTGCAGTGTCCAGATCTGATGGGAAAATGAAGAAGACAGGAACAAGAATGTGTCCCATTCTCCAGGGGAGCAGGTTTTGTATACAGACCCTCTAGTGGGAGGGAGCACCCATTTGGAGATGGGGCAAGAATCTGACCAAGTCATAGGGCCATCGTGACTGTCTGCCTTCCAGGGAATCATCCCTTCTTTCCTTTGTCAAGAAGTTGTTACTATTTTGTTGCTCTTATTGGTCCTATTAAGCATGTTCTGCAGTTGTAAGACACTGACTCCCAACAACATGCCCTTTTGATGTTTTAGACCTACAACAGCCAGAGTGAGAGCAACGAAGACTATGAGATCCCCCCGATAACACCTCCCAACCTCCCTGAGCCATCCCTCCTGCACCTGGGGGACCACGAAGCTGGCTACCACTCGCTGTGTCACAGCCTCACGCCCAACGGACTGCTCCCTGCCTACTCCTACCAGGCCATGGACCTCCCAGCCATCATGGTGTCCAACATGCTGGCCCAGGACAGCCACCTGCTGTCGGGCCAGCTGCCAACGGTGAGTCCCTGTCACCCCCCATGGTTCAGCTGGATCCAGCAGGGAAGGGGCTTGAGAGGGGAACAGAATGCCAATGTTTTGATGAGGACCCTCTGCTTGTGTGCAGGGTGTGGGCTCGGATGTTTGCGTGGGGTCTGCAGAATATGAGGGGTGGGCATGGATGGTAATTTGTGTCTTCACACGGGTAACTTCTGGAGCTCTGTTTATAGTATCTTGGTAGTATTTGTTTTATTGTTATTTCTAATAGTATAATCTCATTTTTATTTTATAATGGCTTTATTGAGATATAATTCTCACACCATACAGTTCACCCATTTAAAGTGTACAGCTCAATAGATTTTACACAAGGTTGCATGACTATCAGCACAGTTCATTTTGGAACATTTTCATCACCCCCCCCAAAAAATCTTATTCCACTTAGTCCTCATTCTCAACCCCCCACAACCCCCAGCCCTAGGTAACCACTAATCTACTTTCTGTCTCTAGATATTTGCCTCTTCTGGACATTTCATATAAATAGAATCATAATATTTTTAAAATATTGTACCTTGTTTCTTGTTTAAGCTGCCAGGGAGAAGGGTGATTGCTGAGTTAAAGTTTTCAGGATAAGTAGAAAATCAGCAGGCAGGTTAGGACAGGAAAGGACCTTCCAGTTTGGGGGAACAGCATGTGTGAAAGCAAGAGGCAGGAGGGCTCATGTCATTCTTGGGGACAGCATGTGGTTCATTCTCTTTATAGGGCAGGAGAAAATGGACCTGGAGCCCGAGAGAGAGAAGGAGGTGAAAGAGCTAGTAGCCCCTGGATCCTAAGGGTCCTGAATCCCATGCTAAGGAGATATATGACTTCTTAGCATAATGGCTGATTTGAACAATCAAGAGCTGTAGAAAACTAGTAGAGCATTTTTGGTATAATAGAAAAAGTCCCTTAAGGGAATTCTAGCACTTCTCCTGAATAACTATGGTTATTTTTGTTTGTATATGATATTATATACTAGTCACAACTCTTTTAAGTTCATTCCTAAGTGACAGGAACCAAACTCAAACTAGCTTAAGCAAAAAAGACTGAAATATCCAGGGGTGGACAAGGGGTTTCAGGTATGGCTGGATCCAGAAACCCCAGTAGTGCCGTTAGGGCCCTGTCCCGTGCCCATTTCCACACAGCAAGCATGATGGCTACTGTAGCCGACATCTTCCCTGACATCTCTGGCAAGTGACCGTTTGGGTCTTCCAGGGAGGACCATGCTGGAGAACAGCCGGACCAGCAACCATTGTGTCCAGGAGGAAGCAATCTTCGATTCTGTCAGCTTGGGTCACAGACTTACCTGTGGCAGGGGAGGAGGGACTGCATAGCTGATTTCCTATCAAAATCACGTGGTGTTGGGTGGATCATGTTTATCTCTGCAGAGAATGCTCAGAGGCCACAGATGCCTGGGACCTTCGGACATACAGTGTATACTGTAGCAATCTTGACAGTGTTTTATTTACTGTTTACTCTTATTACCACCAAATCTCCTTGCTTAAAAAAAAAAAAAAGCTGGTATCCTCTATGTATTTCTGTAAGCTACATCACATTTTTTCCTTCTTTGAATCCAGGTGAGAAATAAAAGGAGGGAGGGGTGTTTCGGGTCAGGCTAAAGTGCTCAGTGGAAATTGATACTCCGTTTCTTGAGGAATAACTTTCTTTGGGGCCCATCAATAATGCAGGCCCTCCACTTCCTCTTCTCTAAGAGACCTGAAGATTCCAGAGCCATACGGTTTTAATTCCACTTTGTTAGAGTGATGTGCTTTAGCCATCTGCCCAGCTCATTGCTCACAAAACGTCACTACTCGACTGTCCCTGTTGGGGGGGTTATGGTAGCACAAGCGAGGGAGGGTCAGCAGACACCTCCGGTGTGTGCCCTGGGGAAGGCTGGGAGTGCAAGGGTTGGTATGGCTGCTGTCCTGGGCCCCGGTCCTTCTGGCCTTTGGTGCCGGTGGGCAGGAGAGACTGTGGGGGTAGTGCTTAGTGTGTGGGCTCTTGAGTCCCGCAGACCTGCCTTAAGTCCTGGATCCACCTCTGGAGCTTCATTCCCTTGCGTTGGGATCCTGACAGTACGCACCTCAAGACTGCATGGAGTGTATTTGAGATAATGTGTGCAAAGTCTTAGAAAAATGCCTGGCAGAGAGTAAACAATCAGGGGATCTTTATTATTTTGATTATTAGTAATAAAAGTGAATTCCCACTGTAACCAAATAGGGACGTTTTCCCATGAGTCTCATTTACCTAAAGGAACAGATTGCAGATACGCCAGGTACCTTTGTAGGGTCACCTGGTTATAATAGCTCTGATAATTGCAAAGAATGTTGTCTGTATGTCAGAAATGACCTTCCGATCACTCCTCCTAGGATACGTTTTGGTTGGGCTTGGTCCAAATAGGCACTTGGCGGTCATTTTCCAGATTTCTTTAAAACTAGCGCATGTTAAAGACGCTTCACAAATTCTTCCATTAATCAGTTGTCAAGGGCTCACTGAGTTTTATATTCCCTCGTTCTATAATGAAAGAGAAGCCAAGCTGTTTTGTCCAGGGGAGGGCTACTGGACCAAATGGGAAACTCAATAAACACATGTCCATCATGTCCATCTGTTGGGACTCTCCGGTGAAGAGACACAAGGCAGCCTTAGAGATAAGTTTTCCAAGTTTGTCCGAGCAGTAGGAGGCAGGCGTGTGTCTGTGCGTGTGTGGACGTGCATCCTGAAGGTGGTGCTAGAATTTGTGTCGCCACCTGCTAGGTGTCAAGCACAGTGCAGAAGGCTTTACAAACTGTTTACACGCTGCTCCCAAGAACGGAGGGAGGCAGGGATCATTCCACTGGGAAAAGGAGGCTCGGAAAAGGCAGGCAATACTTGCTCAAACAAATTGTCCCAAACGTGGTAGTTTAAAGCAACCAGAAATTGGTTCTCTCAGAGCTCTGGAGGCTAGAAGGTGTCAGGAGTGGGGAGTTTCCTCTGGAAGCTCTGGGGAGAATCCCTCCTTTGCTGCTTCTAGCTTCTAGGGGTGGCTGGCTATCCTAGCTCGTGGCCACATCGCTCGGACCTCACGTGGCCCCCTCTCTCTGTCCGTGCAGTCTCCTCTGCCTTTCTCATAAGGACACGTGTGATAGTATTTAGGGATAATCCAGGATAATCCGGCCATCTCAAGAACCTTCACTTAATCACACCTGCAAAGACTCTTTTCCCCAATACAGGTTCCAGGGATTAGGACCTGACATAGTTGGGGGGCTGTTTTCAACCTACTGTGGTGATCACCTGTGCAACAGTCTTTATTACGAGCCTCCTAAGTCCCAGGCAGTGTTCTGAGCCCTGGCTCTACAAGATGCCCTTGAGGAACACCTGGTGCAGGTGGAGAGACAGGTGAAGTCTCCACTTCTGGAAATGTAGTAAATGCTCTGAAAGAATCGGTGCATGCTGTTGTGTGTGCCCAGAAGAGGCACCCCTAGGAAGTGATGACCTGACACATAGCAGGTTCTAGACGTAAACACGTTACGAGTAAATGAGTGAAAGAATGTCACACAGTCATTAAGAAACCAAAGCAGAACTCGAGCCCAGCTCTATCCGCTACCGTGCGCCTCTCAGTTTTACCAGGTGCCCGAGAGATGGAGCAGGGCCGCAGGTGGCCCAGAAGGTGCCCTGGTGGCCAGGAGGTCACAGATGCTGTTTGCACAGACTGAGATGCGTCAGGGATGTCGTCCCTGGAGAGGTGGGTGAGGCCAGGGCGTCTTGACGAGCATCTCATGTGTGCCAAGCCCTTCTGGCTCTGGTCCCAGAGGCCACCGATTCCTCTGGTCCCCTGTCCCGGCCTGGCGGCCTCCTGACATGCATGGCAGTCAGCTTTTCTGCTTTTAAGGTATGGCTGCTGGCAGGAATCCTGTGCAATATTGGAATTGGGCCCCTCTTACAAAATTAAATATGCTTAAAGCTTCTCCCTCGACTTCAGAGTCTTAACTGATTAAACATTCATTTCCAAGACAAAAAGAGTCAATTTAGTATGAAAGATACATTTTGCCGGTTTAATTTAAAGCACTGCACCTCCATCTGACCCCTATTTTCATAACTCAATAATTTTATCCTGTGTTGATTGTCTCATTTTGAGAGAGATATTGTATGTATAAATCAGTTTCTAAAATACCCAAAGAAACTAGAAGAGTGGAATTTATTAAGCAGCCTCTGTTAAGTCTGAAATAATTTATTTTGGAGTCGTCCTTGGGAAATGTTCGAGCTTATGGTCCCGGCATACCCAGGAGAGGCATCATCCTGGGAAGGGACAATGCTGGGTGTTGCCAGACCAGTCCCGGGGAACCTATACCTCCTGCGAGATCAGAGAGAGCCCAGGGAGAGCCTCGAGTGGGTGGAGGCGGGCCCAACGGGAGAGGAGCCCTGGCAGAGCTGTCCCCACTCCAGCCATCGGTGCTGGCCATTTGGGAAGTCGGGGCGTTTCCCCAAGCCGAGCCCGGTGGGTGGCTGGAGCTGGGTGGTGCAGTTTCGGGCCTCGGTTAGCACGGGCTTGGCATGCAGCTGGCATTCAAGTGTTCTCTCCCAGAGTTGACTCTTGTTTGCTTTCTCTGGGGCCTCGGACAAGTCTCTTCTCTCCCAGCCTCAGTTTGCCCATCTATGAAATGGGGATTGGGGTGCCAACTGTGGCGAACTCACAAATGGGAAAAGCGGAATAGTGGCTCTGTCAGCTATGACACCCTGGACAAGTATATGGCTTTGAGGTTGGATAGAGCCTCCGCCAGCACCACCACCCATGCCACTCGCCCGGGGGGCTCAAGTCTTACCAACCTGGATCAAAATCCTGAGTGCTAGACTGGTAGTTTTAGATCTTTTGTGTTCTGGGTCCCAGTCCCAAAGCATCTTGCTAGGAGTGGGCTAGGAGCCATGGCGCAGGGACCCCATGCCAAGGGAAAGGTCTTTCCAGGCTAGTGTCCTGGGGCAGGCTTTCAGGGAGGGGGCTGGGCAGTCCT